GCTGCATGTTTGCATAGGGCTGGGAAGCAGCTCGAGGTTTTTGTTTCCTAATTTGCTATTTTGCCCGCTAGAAAGAGTCTGCATCAGCATTTTGGACCGAATTCAGGTCTGCCGTGAATAGATGCAGCTTCCTTTCAATCTGTGACATTGCAAGTACTTACACTGGGGCTAAATGTGGCTGTTTTAGCTGTGCTGTGATACCTGGTGACTTCTGCTCATCTCTGCTTTAGTAACGCTTTTATTTACCCCTCTTAAAGGGGTGTTTGAGCTCAGTGCTGATGAAACCCGAGTGTGACGTGGGGCTGGGGATGGCGGGACCCCGTGCCTGGGTAACGTCGGCTGCAAAACGGGGTCCCTGCCAGGGCGGCCCTTGTGGAACTGCCCGGGGAGCTGCCTGCTGGGTGCTGCTCCCGGCCCCGCTCCGGCAGTAAGAAATCCCGGAGGAAATAAAATCCAGGCCCTAATGAACTTAGGACAAGTCTTGGCATTGGCCTAAGGGTCAGGATTTCGTGCAAAACTTGGAAATCGAGTTAGAAATTTGTTTATTTGAGATAAAAATTGGAGTATTTTTTTTTCCCCAGCAGAGATGGGTTAACGTGAATCCCTTCCCCTGCAAAGTGTGTGGCTGGGTGACGCTGTCTGGGGATGGCCCCGGAGTTGGGACACCCCAGAGTTTCCCTCCAGGGCTCCTGGTGCTCATCTCATCCCGGAGCGCTCCTTAGCGCTTCCCCAGGATCCGGCTGAGCTCCAGAGCTGAAGCTTCTTTCCTTATCCCTCTTCACATTTCTTATTATTTTTGGGTTCATGGCAGTTAATGGCACTTGCCAAACTGAGCTGTTTCAGATTAGCCATAGAAACAAAATAGGAAAAAATGATTGTCCAAAGGCTGAGGAGATTATTTTGGAAGTGGAGGTGTGGAGCTGGCTGTTCTTTCCCACCCACGTATATTATTGATATGATCCATCACTCTGAGGTTACCAGAAAAAGCTTATAAAAATAAATCTTTTTTTTCTTAACTACTATAGATCCAGTTGTGGTATAAATTTTATAGAATAGAAGAAGCAATCCTTAAAGAAAAAAGCTGTCAACATCTCTATTTCATAAATAATTGCCGGTTCCTTTCATCTGTTACCTATGCTATCATTTTCTTAATTCCTGCTTTCTGTTCTCTACCTGACTCTTCAGTACGCTGTTAACTCTGCTTATTGTGCTTTTCATCTCTTCTCCCCGAATTTCTCAAAACTCCTGTCACTTATTCACTGCTACTTCTGTCAATTAGTTCTGCTATTATCGGAGAGCTCCAGCTCCTGGCTGGTAATTTTTCACTCTCTGCAGAAGAGCTGTAAGAGAAGAGCTGTCCTGAGGGCTGCGATGGCAACGCACAATCCCCCGTGACAAGAGGAGGGCAAAACTCAAGTGCTCTGAATACCGAGGCCGTTACGTTCCTGTTGGGATGTCGTTTGAGGTTAGGACAGGGTGAAAAGATGAAGGTTTAAGGTTGCTGGTAGCTGATGACGTTGGTTCTATAAAGGCAAAAAGAGGAACGAGGAGTAGGTTTTCAATTGAAGTAACACTGTAAAAGAGTAGGTAGCTTAAGGTTAATCATTCCAATGATTGATGAAGCCAGGGAGTAAGGCTTCTCAGATGGAGAATTCACCCACCAAGTCATCTTGAATTTTCTTAAGGTTTAGGTGTTCGAGGTCCTTTTGAACACCCCTCTTGATTGTAGAGAGCAGTGCTCCTCTTTCTGTTTTCCTGTATTTTTTAGTGAATTAATTACAAGTCACAAGCAGCCTTTGGTAAGCCCAGGCCTTGGCAATCTGTTTTTCTTTCTCAGCTTCCCCGGTGATTTTTTTCCCTTAGTATCGTGGTTCTCCAGGCTCCACAGGCTCATCCTGCCGTTCCCGGATCTGCCTTTGGAGCCCCGCTCCGTCCTCGTCCCTGGCCGCGTTTCCAGGGCTCTCCCAGCCCTGCTCCGGCCCCGCGCTTCCCGGAGCGCAGCGTGCTGCAGGGAAGGACGGAGCTGGGCCCCGCCAAATAGTTTATGCTTTAAAATAGTTTTACTGTTTTATACTCGTAACCCTAAAAATGGCAGGGGGGGGTGGCCGCCGCTAGCCAAGCTTCGGAATGCGCGCGGAAACTCGGACGGGGTAAGATCCATATCCATCAAATGCAAAATGCTCTGTTGTGCTCTGGAAGAAGTGAATTTCCCCAGCCCTAATGTAATAAAAAGGCTATCTAAATTCCAGCTCCAGCACCTGATCTCACTTCACTGAAGGCAGTTGGCCAAATTCCCATGCAGGATGAGCAATTATGTTGTTAATTTGCACTACAGAAGTATTAATGAACTCTGCAGCTGCCTATCCAGTTTCAGTTTTAGTGTGTTTTTCCAGTGCTGAAACCACCCGAGAGTCTATCTGCTGCTGTCACATAACAGCAAGAACTGCACTCTTGAAGGTGTGCAAAATTCCAGTGGGAAGGTGTGGATCTTAACTAAAGGCAGCACGGAAAACCTATGGGCTGATATAACCTGGGATTTGATTCCAGGCCAGGGCGGGTGTCTCTTTTCCAGGCTGCTGCTTAGAAAGCTCCTAATACCCGGTGCTGCCTGTGGTTTCATTGTAGTGTGTCTTTTTTTAGAAAAACAGAAACCTTTCCTTCAAGGGAAGTCGGCTGATGTGAAATGCACCGCTCGGGCTCGGGAACAAGGAGCTGCTTCTGCTTCCACATCTTCCTCCAGCCCCGAAGGTGCTGCCTTTGGGTGAGCAACTTGCACACACTAAAACTCATCAGCCCTCCCACAAGCATGTCCCAAGGAGTGTTTTTTTAAAAAATTACTATATAAATTGGAACTTTGCATACAATTGTGATTTTTTTGAAATTAATTTGTAGATATCTTATATATCCCAATAATGAATAATAATTTAAGCATTAGTGCCCTCCCTGAGAAAAGGTGGTCTGTACTATAATTGGTGTTACTGTTGTATTTCTTCTTAGCTGTCTTTCGTTTTAAAATGTTGCTGTAGTAATTCTGCCCATCTTTAGTGGAAACTGCAAAGCATCTGCAAAAGTATCTCGTTTCTCCTGGTTTTAGATCTGAGTCTGCGGTTCTTGCATAGCAATACAATTAAAAACAAAACCTCTCAGAATGGGTCTGTATAAAGCAGCCAGCACGAGGCTGTTCCTCCGTGTTCGCTCTTCTGGTGAACTTCTTCTGTGATACTTCAGCAGTCTGGAAGGTGTTAGGGTGCAGAAGTGCTTGGAGTGGCATGGCTCCAGCTTGGGCTGCTCCATTTCCCCACTCCTCCCACAGTTGCCCTTGTGTTTTCTTTTTTCTTTTCTTTTTCTTTTCTTTTGCTGTTGTTTGTGGGTTTTTTGGTAAACAGCCAGTAGCTGGGAAGGTGCCAGGGATTGCTGTTTGGCTGCATTCAGCTCTGTTTGCACCGCTCTGTAGTCTCTTAATTACACCACTGTTGTCTGTTTGGTTCCTTATCCCAACAAAAGTTGGGCTAATTTGGTGTGGTTTCCCTCTGCATCGCTGGTGTTTGTGATCATGTGTAACATAAGAGCTAGCAAATTACTTCTGGGTGCATAAAGCATGTTGCTGGGAGGTTCAGAAGTCTGAAATTAGAAGAATTTGTGTTTTCAGGCTTGCACCAGAGCATGGTGCAAAGCGACCCAGCCTTTGCTGTAGATGCCATCGTGCCTCGTGGCCGAAGGAACCCAGTGCAGTGCAGTCGTTTCTGCGTGTCTTACCACGGGGATGTTATAGCAGTTCCTGAACGTTTTGTGTGATGCACCACGTGTCTACAGGCTGTGCTGGCCCGGTCTTTGCTCCCCTCTGCTTTGCGTGGCCGTGTCCCACGCTGCAGAACCTGCTGTTTGCTGCCCGCGTTTGCCGGGCCAGGGAAGGAGAGCGGCCCGTGCTGGCCGTGCTTCGCTTGCCAGGGCAGGACAGCATCGCTTGGGCATTGCAGAGACTTCTAGGAGAAAGCAGTGTGACCTTTGAGATGCAGCATAGCGAGCTGGCGCTGGTGGATCCCTGCTGCTGAGGTTGTGTTCTCGTGTCTTGCGTTCTAGCCCCGAGCAGGAGGGAGCAGGCGCCGCGGGAGGAGGTTGGAGCCAGCCCTCCAGAGCCCCGGGATTAACCGCGCCGGCTCCTCTTGCTTGCTCTGCTGTTACAGTTTACATTTCGATGGTCTTACCTACAAAAGTTGGGTGTGCTTTCCACAAGTGCATAGTAAGCCTAAATAAGGAAAGGTATTGCCTGCCAAAATGAGCTGAAAGCGCGATGGTTTGCAGCCCTAAAGGAGTTGCAGGGAACCCAAGCCGCTAGCTGCGACAGCAGGCACCTGCATTGAGCAGAGTAGAGGGGCGGATGGGGGGCCATGGGGACGGGGACACCTCCGTGCTGTGAGCAGGGCCGGGGACACGGCTGTGGCTGCAGAGCCCTGGAGGGGCCAATGACCCGTAGCCCTGCGGGGTCCCCTGGCAGGCTATGAAAGGTATTGGAGACAGCATTAACCAGTAGTCCTAAAATAAAGGTGCAGAGGCACTTAGAAAAATGTGCTTTTACTGTGAAAAATAATAAAAAAGGAGGTAAGTCTATTTCAGATAACAAAATAATACATACGGATATCTGCTTTTTGCTGTGGAGGAAAAAAACAGTCCTCCCAAACTGGCCAGCATAGAGGAGTGGAAAATTTCAGTGCCTTACGTAAGCGTCTTACAAAGCTTCCAGCAGGTGGGAATTGGTAGGAATTGCGTTTGTGTAAGGTACCTATGGGAGATGAGTTATGTTTATAGTCCGTTTCTATCCAGACTGCGGCAGAGCCGCTCACCGATCCGCTCGGCCTCGGCAGTTAAGGGCACTCGCGCAGCTATAAACAACCGCTGAGCTGCCGTTCCTGCAGATCCTCTGTTACGAGTCACTGCATTAGGGGTGTGCGTTTTGTGGTGTTTGTTTTTCTTCTGAAAAATGTCTTATTTTTGTTTTCCAGGATTTTTGCTTTTTAAAGACTACTGCATGAATGAGATCGATGAGGCTGTGCCCCAGCTGAAGTTCTACGAGGAGGTGAGCTGCCCTCGAGCCGCCCACGCGGTTCTTCTCGCCGGGCGCGCTCCGTGGCTCCGCGTCGCTTGAGGTGGTCAGGAGATGTGAGCTCTAGATACACCCATTGCAAGTCTCCGTGTGCTCAATGTCTCTTACACCTTAAAAGTTAGCTCTGACATGCTGTTGATCTTCCATGGTAAGTTAGCGATACGTCTCAGCCCAGCTGCAGGTGCTGAGATGAAGTTGCCGAGTACCCCGCATTGCTGGCTTACCCTGCACCTGCAGCAGTGGATTCCTTCTTTGCAAAAGACCTGAAAGCAAGGCCAGGGGGTTTCCTTATAGCTGGTGGTGTCCATTACCCGCAGAGAAGGTTTTTGCTCGAAGGTCAGAAATGCTAAAAGCAGCCAGGCCCCGCAGACAACCGCCTCCGACACCGCCCGGCC